CATCGTTGGGGCTACGAATTTGGTCGCATGCACAGACAACCGCTCTGTTCGGGTGAGATTGTTAATTCTCTAACATTTCAAACCCGCCTAAACTACAACGCGAAAGTCGGAATCAACCCGACCCTACGCCACAAACAGCCGAGGGCAGAAGAGAGTCTTAGCAACTGAGTAGGAAGGCCCGCAACACAGCGGAAAGCAACATAGCTAGCTCAACTCAGGCGAGCAACGGACAGTGGAGACGATTCCAACATAGTGATCGCTAAGGATCAATCAAAAAAGATCTAAATACAAATCAAACCAGAAAATAAAGAAAAAGTTGTGCATAACTAAAGTCATAAAAGGCCATTCCAAGCCAAGTTAACAGGCATCGAAAAAATTACAGCGTTGTCTAACAAAAAAATGACAAAGTAAAAGACGCGCTACATCAACTTCAGCAGGCTGAAACTGGCGATTTTCGCTTTGACGTCCGCAAGCTCCGCCGCCTGACCAGCTCGAGTCTTCGTCTCCTACCTCTGCTGGATTCTGACGAAAGCAGCCTCGCCATCCTCCTCTTCCTAGCGAAGGAGCTGGAGCGCCTTCTCTTCCGCCTCGACAGCACGATAAACCCACACCTTCTTATGCTCGAGCCTTTTCAGCCTCGTCTCCCCCTCAACGAATCCGGTGTCTGTGAAGAAGCTGGCATCCAGATAGGCGTCCATCTTCGCCATTATGGCTCGATGCTGCTTGTGCAAGCGTCTAAGCAAAGCCTCCTGTTTCAGGATCCGCTTCACCAAGTCTTCGCGCTCAAACAGAGCACTCATCATAAGGGGCACCGGTTCAGAGTCAGCGTGTGCCAGCTCCTCCAAACGGTACATCAGCCCCTCCAGGCGATTGAGCTCACGCTCACATCGCCGAGAAAGCGTAGAACCACCCACACGTCGGAGCTCCTCCAGACTCTCCTCCACGAAGGGGAGCATATCATAATACCTCCCGATCCGGTGCCCTGGCCGACAATGGTAGTCGTCCTACGTAAAGCGTCCTCCAACTTCTGGAGGATGGCAAACGCTAGACTGAGTGTCGGAACTAGAGAGGAAGACCCTTGGGTCCAACCAACGGGAGAAGATGGCGTCACGCTAACGCCAGTAGCGGTAGAGGAGGAGCCAACACCCTCCCCCTCGGAGACACCGTGGCTAGACACTGAAGCCATGGATCAGAGCAAAGAGAAGTATGTAGATGTTTTTCTTCTGGCGAATTTTCGTGAGTACAGGAACTCTACCAAGAGAATGGCAAGCGCATTATATAGACAAGAGCTCAACGGCTGAGATTCGCTGCCCAGAATAGATCGACCGGCTTAGAACTCCAACGGTGCTTCGAATTCGACGCCCATAAAAGCCTCGGCTTTTGGGACTCCAAACCGACAGTTCTGATCGAGCACGGAAGGCGGAGCATTCCGTCACTTCACAATTAATAAGGATTGAACCGCCCACATCTCCTTAGCTGGCAAGCACTTAGGCCCACTGGCGTACACATGGCATAAACTCGCCTGCGCTTGAGTTTTGCTTGTAGCATAAACTCGCCAGCATTTGAGTTTCGCTTGCGGCCCAAAAAAACTCACCTCGCTTGAGTTTCTCCTGTGGCATAAACTCATCTGCGCTTGAGTTTCGCCTGTAGCCCAACCCGCCATCGCTTGAGTTTCGCTATCGGCCCAAACTTGCCATCGCTTGCGTTTTGCTTGCAGCCCAAACTCGTCAACACTTGAGTTTCGCCTGCAACCCAAACTCGCCTCACTTGAGTTTCGCTTGTAGCCCAAACTCATCAGCACTTGAGTTTCGCTTGCGGCCTAAACTCTCCATCGCTTGAGTTTCGCCTGCAGCGCAAAATCACCAGCAACTGAGTCCACCCATCGCATGAGTAAGACGTTGAATGGCGACACAATGAAAAATGAGGAGAGTGTGTGTGTGACCAGAAAGTACGAAGTTCATTAGATGTTTCTAGGTGATACATTTGAACAAAGTTATGACTCTACAATCAACAGAGTCATGACATTACATTCAAGGAGCAAAACATTGAACAAGGTATCTTGAATCTACTCCTATCCTACGGATTTACCCGTGCCTCGAAAGAAGCGTTAGCAACGGCCTCTTCCTGAAGCAGCAGTGGAAGATTACACCTCTCCCTTGCAAGATCGCCTTTCACGGTCTCGCTCTGAATGCATAGGCCCATCAAGACTGATTCCCCCTCTGTGTGTGGGATCGTACCTAAAAAAATTGAAGAAGCAGTACCCTCCATCTCGGCCTACAATAGACGTCGACGGAGATCTAAGCGGACGATAGAGGATTCTTTGTCTTCTATGTCTCGCCTTCAGCACTCTCGCTGCCACGCCTCGCGACGACGAGCCGAAACCAAGAATGACTCCACTTCGGACTCCAAGTCTACCTGCCACAGATTCTCCAGTTTGTTTATGAGCGACTCAAGATCAATGAGCCTCATCGAGCAGCGTATTGCGAGCCTGTAGTCACCCAAATGGCGAATTCGGGTGACCCGATCTAGGAGGGCCTGCTTCAGGTCCGCGAAGACACCACGTCCCTGATCAACGACCAAGATCGCCCGCTTCACAACACCCTCCAGATCCTCTATGTAGGTTCGCAGACCGGCTAAATCCGAAGGCTTAGGTTCCGGATCGTGGCCAGGTACAGCAGTTGAAAAAGAAGCATCGCTCGCCCTTCTTCTTCGAAGCAGACGCTTTAGGGCGTGGTGCCGTTGAAAACGAGGAAAGGGAGATGAGCACGGTGACCTCCTTAACTAGGAGAGCAACGTAGATAATGAGCACGCCCATCATTCAAAGGTCCAATTAGGCGCAGGGGACAAAGAGTTACCATTATGACGCCTTCAATGCGAAGTGACATACCAATGTCAGTCTAGCTGGTAGGCACACGATGCCGCGACCAGAAACGTGGCTCACCTTATTCGCCTACGGCTCTGAATGGGTTTTTTACCTAGAGTTCGCCTTCGGTCCAAACTCGCCTACGATTCAGATTCACCTCCGCCTGTGGCCAGAATTTGTCCACAGCCCGAATTCGTCTAAAGTTCGCTTGTAACTAGAATTCGCCCAGGGGTCGGATTCGTGTGTAGCTAAGAGACCAAAAGGCAACATCAATACAAAAAAGAGAATATACGCAAACGCGTATGAAAACCAAAGGAGCATATCATTCATCTAATTTTAAGACAGTACATTTGAATAAAGTTATGATTTTACAAGTCATTAACACCAAATGTCTTAACACTGTTCAAACACGGAGAACCTAGTCTAAGAGGCTGAAGGACGCGAGCTCCGCTTTAGATGCGGCCACCCTTCTCGTGTGGTCTTCTTGGGCTTTATCCTCAGCTTCCTTCTGGGTCCGACCCTCGAAGGTAGAGGCGGCGACAGAGTCTTTCTGGCGCAGCATCTGAAGGTTTCGGGTCGCCTCTTCGACAGCTTTGTCAACTTTTCGACTCTCAGATCGAAGGCCCCCTAGAGTCGTCTCCGCAAGCTCTAACTCAGCCCTCAGATGGGATACGGTGGAAGTAAGAGTACCCATCTGCTCCCCCAGTGAGCACTGCTGGTCCACCAGGAAAGCGACATGGGATTCCAAATACGCCATTTCCCTCGAGCGAACCTCCTATTCCCATGCCTCCCGACACTGAACTTGAGACAAGAAGCACTCCACGTCAGCCGCAGGACCTCCTTGCAGCAGAGTCTCTAGGTGTGTCAGACGCGATTCCAGATAGAGAAGCCGTGGCATGCAACGGGCGGCAAGACGAGGTTCACCCAACCGCCTGAGATCGACCATGCGATCCAGGAGGGACTATTTGAAGTCAGCATAGATCCCAAGACCAAGGCTGACGAGGGAAATCACTTGCTTTGTGGCATTTTCAAACTCTTCGATACGAGCCTGTAGAGATAGGGAACCTGAGGGAACATGCTCTTGATCCTGAGCGAACGCTGCGATGGGAGGAACCTCAAGACAAGGCTCCGTTCCAGGCGGGGGAACAGGCTGCGAAGCGGGAGAAGCCGCAGCCCCCTCGGACTCGTCGTCGGAAACAAGTATGGGCTCAGTCCTATGCTCTCTGGTGAAGGGCACTCCTTCCCGAACTGCACGAAGGCATAACAAAAAGAGAAGAGAGGGTTAAGAGTAGGGGATATCACCTTACAGACCCATGATCAACCCGGACGAGGGCGCAGATGCCAAAATACCTCCGGCAGCAGCAGCTTCGGCGACAGAAGAGGAGGGAACACCCTTGCCCTGCTTTGAAGCGGTCCTCTTCCCCTTTGGCGCCATCATAAGCATAATAAGAAAGAAGCGCCTCTTCTGAAAAGGCAATCGGAAGCCACGACACCCCCTCAATGCAGAGGGAGGGGCATTAAATACATGGCATGAGTAAATGCCGGCCGTTCGATTGGACCGTTCGAATCGAACAGTCACAGATAAGGCAAGATGATGCCGAATCTCGCGCGAACGATCGAGATGTGTCAGTTTCCAACATGATCTCTGGCCAGCGGTTCAGGTCGGGCAACAAGAATGGCATTTAACGGGAAAAGACGTGCCTACATCATCTTAATTGATAGACACGCGGCCTACCAAAAATGAAGCCCGCCTACGAATTAAATTCGTCAGGCGAAGTCGCGCATGTGGAGTTCGGCCAAAGGCTCATACTCGCACACTATGCTGATCTGCATAACTAAGACTTAACCATGTTTGGGGTTCGAGCCACCTTCAAGTTCGCCAGAAGATTGACACAACTGGGATTCAAGTGAAGCTTGAACTGTTCGCAATTACACCTAAGGCTGAAATTCGCCTGTAGCGGGGACTTGGGTGGTCAAGAGCCACCCGATACGGATCAACCAACGGTTAATTTGACAACACCCGCTGTGACCAACGACAAAATGCACACACACAAAATAAAGGGAGCAATGACTGGGATGAAAACACAATTCCATTCATTAAGAGAGATTCGAATACAACGATATAGTCGAAAGCATATTAAAAATCTCTCAGCCACGACTCCAACTCGCGAATCTCTTCAGCACGTTCGAACTCGAGCCTCCTCAAGATCTCTTGACGAATATCCTCTTCAGAGCACAAAAGCAAGTCTTGGACGGTGTGCCTCGCTGCCTTGAGGGCTCGGTCCTTCTCCTCGATAGTATCAACAACCAGCTGCTGTCGAGACTCGAGTGCCTCCAACTCCCCGATCACCTGTTCACGAGCCTTCTTCTAGGTAGCCAATAAGGCCTGTGCATTAGCAATCATTTGCTTAGTCCCCGCTATCTCCGAAGATAGACGGGACGCACGAGAATCAGCCTCTTAACGTACCAAGCTCATCCGCTCGCTCTCAGCCATAGCACGCTCCAGCTCTTGCATCAGCCTCGCCTCCAACGATGTTGTCTCCTCCAGTCTGTGATCACGCTCCTCCAATGCTATCTGGACCTCACTGGACACAAGATGGAGGATCTCGGAGCTCGTAACACGAAGGGTAAGTAGTTGTCCGACAATCCGTTCTGCCTCCTCCAGACGTTTGAAGTATGTCTTGGCGGCAGAAGGACCCAGAACCCTGATCAAAAAGCCCATATGCTATTCAAGGGCCTCCTTGAACTCCTCAAAGGGGCAGCTTTCCTCCAATGCGAGCCGGATGCTGTCTTCAAGGGTGGCTTGGAGGCTGGCAACGTCCACCAGCTTTTTACGCGAGAGAGCCAATAGAGAGAGGGTAGCCTTGTCGATAGCCGATGTCATCACCAAAGCCGGGGCCGAGGCATTGATAGCCGTAATAGTAGGAGTAGAAACAGACACCGCTGAGGTTGGAGCACAAACCAACACCATCGGGGTCTCAACCACCGATCTGAGCGCGGCCTCAACGGTCATCGAGATACGGGGCGAGGGATCAACCACCATACGGGTAGATGCTTCCCCTTGGGTAGAAGCCCCCTGGGCCGACGACCCTATCTCGACCGACGCTTCATCAGGAGCGTGAGTCTCCCCTACAGAGTCAGATGATCCCTCGTCGCTCGATGCCGTCTCATGGATCGAGTCATCATCTTTGCTGTCGGTCCATTGTCCTCTTTAGCCGACTGGTCAGCCCAAGAAGGAGAATACTCTTTTCCAGCGACATCCGAGACCAGAGTAGCTACAAATGCAGAAAGGAGATTAACAGTAACTTCTGAAAAGAACCCCATATGTGGTTCAGTAGAGACAAATCAACAACGTTCGACCATACTCTTACCTGAGTCACCGAGCTCTGCCTCATCTCCTGTTCCCCCATCTTCATCGGAAGGAATGGGGATCGCCTCCTCAATCGTACCTACATTGAGTCAATGCAAATGTCAGACAATGCCAATTCGACCATGTACCTGAGGATACGGTATTAAGGATTACCTCTCGGCACAATGGGGGGAGTTGTTGAAACCACCACCTGCTACTCCACAGCAGACGACAAGGGAACAACCTCTGAATTTGCCGGAACCGTCCCCGAGGCAGTAAGCGAAGCAGGCGTAACGCCGCTGGCCGTAGGAGTGGTCACCCCGGGAATTAGCACGGAGGTTGCGTCATCCCGGCCTCTCGCCACTCCGATGGCCTCATCCACCTCCTCGTAACAGACCTTCTTGGCCACCTCCACCCTGGAACTGTCAGTCGTAACCTCACGTTGTCGCTTGGAAAGAAGAGAACTGCTAGGAGCTAGGAGCAGCATCCCCAGTCACCCAGCGATTGCTCCCCAGGCCTATTCCAGGCGTTCACCCGCCTGAGCCAACTCATCTGATCCTCCCATGTCGACGGGACCCGATGGAGGATGAGGGGACGAAGCGCGAGCCGCGGATTCCCCGAAGTCTCCCGGGCCAGCATGAAGATCCTCGGCCTCCTCTTCAGGGATATCCTCGAACCATTCCTCCACAGTCTGGCGACCCTTTCACCTTAAGGAGCGGGTAGGTGCCCTCGGGTAACGCCCGCGCTCTACCAAATAAGAACTTTGAAATCGGAAGCCCTCGGGGTTCGCGCTAGCACCCCGATACCACCGACAATAGAGGAGCGAATGGTGAAGGTCGTGATCCTTAGCCGGCAACTCGAAGTGTGCATTGGTGCCACTAGCATAGGTCTAGAACCACCCTCGCACACCATCAACCAACCCTCCTTCGTAATCAAAATGAGGGTTGATATTCCCAACATAAAGCTGGTCATACCCAAACTGGCGGGCAAACCTACAAGGGAAATAAGGCTCAAGGTAACACGCAGAGCCAGTTCGCAAGATGTGATACCCCGGCCGGATGTTAACTAACCACCGAAAGGCGTCGCAAGAGAGGATGGTGTTTTGGGCTGCCGTCGACACGTCCTGGAGCGACTCACCATAGCCGCCCTCAGTGAAGTAAGGAAAGAATCGCCGGATGTTGTAATGACCGAAGTAAGACAACGTCTTCCTCATGTCAGGGACGTCTTTACACTTCCAAGAGCATCTTTCTAGACGCTAGACAAACGGGACGGATCCCCCTCCCTGTAGAGCCGCTGGGGCACTCATCAAGCACTCGTAGTGGTATACGAACCACGCCATTAGATAAGTATACGGCAGCCCCACTCTCGGATTAGGGGTCTTGGCGACTTTGCCTTTGCCCTCATCAACATACGACACACGACAAAACTGGTTTGTCAGTGTGCGAAGCCCCCTTTGGATACAAGCTACAGTTGCCGACACCAACGCGTACGACCTCCCATAGGCCAGGCGTACCACAAGGTAAACCACTTCCACCGGGAGTGCCTCGAAGGAATGGGTGGGAACCACACACCTCTTCAACCACAGCATAAGATATCCCGTGAGCAGAGCCTTAGCGGATATGGGAGATTTGGCCTAATGGTGGAACGACTGGAAGGTCATCCCGAATGGGAACCCACCCTCGTCATGCTCAAGGGTTATGGCAGATTCCCCTTTGGCAATCTGACTCTCCACCTCGGCCTGGTCACACTCACCTAGTGGTAGAGTAGGCCTCCCCTTGACATCGTTCCCGGGGAATAGGTAGTCAGCCCAGTTCTTGAGGCTAATCCCGGGAGCCCTCTTCTTCTTGCCCTTGTAGTCCACCGCGCCTAAGGTGTCAAGACATATGTGGTAATGGCCGAGCAACTCCCATAAAGTCTCAACCATTAGGGGAAACTGACCCGAAAGATAGTCGATCTCGTCTTGACCCGGTACGTACTCCTCATAGGGGAACCTCCCCAAAGGCAACCCCGACACATCATACATCTCGTGGAAGGTTATATCAAGCTTGCCGTTGGGGATAAAGAAGGTACCGCTATCCAGGTAGTAAAGTTCTAAGATACTGTAAAACTATGGGGCATTGATCTTTAGGCCATGCTGGATGGCTCGGATAGCTACGAACAGTTCGGAGCCCGCAAGGTCGGAGTTCTCCATCAAAACGTACTCGGTGATCTTAGACCACCAAGTGCCACTACCAGATGCAGAATGAATCCATCTCAGAGCCCTGAAGTCCTTTAGAGGGAATTTCCCCCCTGCCTGGAAGAAACGGTGGCGGAAAGTCTCCGCCACTGCAGTCATCTCCCCCACAGGCCATTCATTATTCAGCAAGCCGGGACGCAAGACGACCACGCGCTTACAGGAGCTGTCGACCCCGTACCCAGCGGACGACCCTATGAAGACACCGCAAACTACCCCATCTTGGGTAGGAGTGAGACCCAGTTCATCGATCTTGGGACCGCAAGCGACCGCAACTCGACTATCGAAAACCCTCTCGGCATACTAGGAAGGTAGTAATGGACCACATCCACGACATGGAGCCATTTACTCTCTCCAAGCAACAGAGCCGAAGGGTCAGCCGCGGCATCGCCAAACATGAACTAGGGCTTTTTCAACTCCACCCTGGCCACGTCTGTCAATGCCGCATCAGTAATCAACTCACATAGCGTAAGATGATGCCCATCAGTCACTCTCTTGACCAACTCCTCCGGTTTGTCAGCAGCAAAGACGGGTACTAGATCAAGAAGAGGAAATCGGGAGGGCGCTGCGTAGCCCGACCGAGCCGCCAGCAAGACCAATGGCAACACCCTTCAGAAGGGCTTCATCAGAAAATGTGGCTGCAAAACAAGGTCAAGAGATTAGAACGAAATTTACAATTGGAATCAGAAAGCTTCTAGTCCTCCAAGCAGGCGGATCTCAGCAAACGAATCTCGCCGGGCAAGACTAAGTCCGCCTGACGAGGGCAGGATCTGCTTGATGAAAGACAAGGTTGTCTGATAGGAGCTGGATTCGCCTAGCGAAGGCCGAATCCGCCTAAAAATGGGGAATTCACCCAAATCAGGGAAATTGCCAAGAATAGCAAAATCCGCAAAAGGAAGACGAACGTGCAGTACTCGTCTTCTCAATGCAGTACCATTCATCAACGTGAAGTCATTGAACTTACCCGAATGCTCCCCAGAGGCGCCGGTAACCGCACCAGCGGCAGCATCGCTAGAAGAACCTCCTGGGCCCTTTCTCTTCGAAATGTACCTCTTAAACTTCGGCGTCGTATCAGAAATTCAAGAAAGAAACCTGAGCTTTTCTCTTTGAAAGGTTTGAGCGGGCAGAAATTCTTGAGCACAGTAGTCTCCAAAAGAAGGGGACGAAGCCTATTTAAAGGCGGAACGCTTGCGGTTGAGAGGCGAGGCCACGATCAAAATTGACAGCCCAGATCGCTCCCGAGGGGCGAGGCGTGGGTAGTTGAGGAACGTGGCCATGATTGAAATCAATGGCCCAGATCGCTCTCAACAGTTCATTTTTTGGCGGTTACAGAGGAACTGTCGAGAAAGGGAACGGGTCGAGCGAATCAAAACCGCCAAAATTCATGCCGATCTAACGGCGCTGGGATTCAAAAATACGGCCACAATCGTCATCTCGAGCGGGGCGCGCAGAAGCAACACCGCTTTGTCAAATAGCACTTAATGTGACCTGATGAATCCATGCGGCCTTAGCCGGAAAGCACAAAGCACAAGGCTCTGCTGACGAACACGTGGCTCGCCTTCCAACAATTCGATTTTCGCCTGAAGAAAGAATGTCGCCTGTGAACAAATGGTGAGCTCACCCTTCAGATTTTCAAATTTCGCACGTAATTCGCCTGCAGAATGCTTAGTACGCCTCGCCAGCGGAAATGGGTTTCGCCCGAACAGCTCATTTGTTGGGCCTAGTTCGCCTCTGAAGGCGAATCTCGAGTGGTCCGACTCATCTAAAGTTTTGAACCATCAATGGAATAGTCTCACTTACACGATCAGACCCACTGGACGATGCAGCCCATGGATGCACCCTTCGGGTGCCCTCACGGGTAACGGTTAGTTAGTCAAAATCGTTACGATATAACCAAACCGCGGCCTGACAGTTATGATTAACTCAAACCCACGTCTCAAACGGCTATAGGTTAGAGCAGAAATCTTAGCATTAAGCCTAAGAGGAACTACTCGACAACTCATCATACTGAGGGAAATAGTATGACTAGCCTGATTCAGACGGTAATCGGTAAAGGTAAATCAAACTCGTTGATAGCTGAGGGTTTGCTAAAAATCCTAAAGAGAGCCAAATTCGCCCTAACTCATCAGGAACTTCTTTA